CCAGTCAGTTGATTGGTGGGACCCAGCTAGATAGAAAACTTGACGTAAAATATAAGGAAAACGGGTCAGGTCAGTGCAGGTTGATAGAGAACGCGAATGAGGTATTCCGCACCAATTGGTCAAGCGTAAACTCCCTACACTAGCTTAAACTCTTGATTGCAGCCTGTCAACCGTGGAAAGTGCTACATTACAATAAAAGTGCTAAAGTAGTGGATTATCCGAGTGCACCTGTTTTGTTCAGTAAGGTAGACTTTGTATATTTCTAGTCTAGATCCTTGCCAATCTTGCCAAGTGGCTGTCTAATTAGTAACGACCAAGGCCATTGAAAAAAAAAATGGGAAAGATGAATTTTCTACATATTCTGCTGTCCTCTTATGAAGCGCAGATGGGGCTACAGGACAGATAGAACTGGTTGCAAAAGACTTCTACTGTGAGAAATGCTCTACAGTTTTTGGTGGAAATGCTCTTAAAGAGTTCATATGGGTAAACTTGACAAGGCAACGTAGGGATTACGATGCTTAGACTAGCAAGTTATTTGACTGTGCATAGCCCTCTGTCAAGAGGTTCACATGATCACATGAGATAAGAGAGTATAATATAGCATATTGATTAAGAGTGTTCGAAATTTTATACATCGGGTGAAAGTGCGACTATCATTACCCAGATAGGAAAGAGACTAATTTACGTAGTAGTTTGCGAAGTGAACGGGGTGTTCGAGAGGTTATTGCTGTGGAGACTGGGGGGAGCTGGCTTCAGAGTAAACCATTCGCTTCTCTTTGCATATACCTGTTTGAGGGTAGTTTACTGTGCAAGAGCGGAGTGTGACGGCTGCTTTAGACTAATGGTTAGGGAGGTGAAATGTGGAGACTTGAAAACATGAAAGGGGCTGTGTCAGATAGGGTCGGCGCCCGTGCCTCCCTTAGTTGTGTCTAAGCGCTTAGACTCTTAAGGCTCTAAGCACCTGTGCGCGGCCGGCGGGTGGGGCGGCCGGTTCGGCCAGTCCCGAAGACCTTTAGAATACAATGAGACTGTGGGTGATGTGTGTGGGCCACTCATTGTTGTTGTAACAGCAGGTGATGTTTGCTTCTTCGTGCTTGATGTAAGTTCGAGAGGAGAAGAAGGGGAAGAAGATGAAAAGAGAAGAAGTGTGAGCAAGTGCGAAGTGCACTCCAAACTCAGCCCCCTCAAATCCCCATATGTACACGTACCACGTACCTAGATCGGTGCTCTTGGTGGGCTTGTCTTGTAGGCTGCACAAGGCAGAATTGATCCTTGTCAAGCATGAAAATTATCAGTGACTATTGCGCATATGGCCCCCACAACACTCCAGACTCTCTTATTTACAGCTCCCTGGTACTCGGGTCTCTTCAAACTGGAAGTCACGTCATATTTCAGAGTCCTTAAGACACAACATCATTGAAACTCGATCCTTTCTCCCTTCTAAGACAGTGACCGTGTCTGATATATAATTTTCTCCCAGAATGACTCTCCCATTAGGAGCCGTGCAGCTAGCCGTGGTCTCATTCATCGTGGGCCCCATGGCTATCATCGCCGTGGCGCTCAGACTGTGGTCCAGATATCTACAGGGAAGAAAGCTCGCTGCAAACGATTACTTGGCACTGGTAGCATTGGTACTGGCTGAATCTGCTTTGTCCGTGTTTCTGGCAGGTATGATTCTCAAACTCTGAGTCCCCTCGAAATGGAGAGACAGCACTTTGAACTCACACACAATCTAGCTGGCTTTGCTGCTGGCTTGGGAGTTCATTTAGAGGAGCTTTTAGCAACGGCACCTCAAAAGTTTGCTCTACACATGAAGGTGAGTTGATGGGTTTTAGTAAATGTCCTACCTTGTACGGTACAATATCGACTAACTTTCCTTCGCCATTGGTTTAGCTTTTCGTGCCTGCACAACTGCTGTGGGCAGCGGCGAACTCGTGTGTCAAGGCTTCGATATTGCACCTCTACATCGACCTCTTTCCCAATAAAGTCTTTTGCCGTTTGTGCTATGGCACACTGTTCATCACTGCCGCGTATTTCACCATGGTACTGATCGAAGCCTTCGCCCTTTGCAAACCGGTCCAATATAACTGGGATAAATCGATTGAAGGACATTGCACTGGTGAAAATATTGCCTACCTCGTTGCTGGCATTGTCAATCTCACTATTGACACTTTCATTGTTGTTCTACCGATGCCTCTGGTTTTCAACTTACAACTGATTTTATCCAAAAAGATTGCCGTCTCTGCAATGTTTAGCCTCGGGGCGTTGTAAGTATACTCTTCCTCCTTTGTTTCTTTGTCGCTTGCAGAGCAGGTCACTTACTATGATCACACTTACCAGGATTTGTGTTATTTCTCTGTTGAGGGTCGTTTGGTTGTGGACTTGGAATCTAGCTGACATGACCTACACCGTTACACCCGGTGCCATTTACTCGGTATTGGAACCAAACCTTGGGGTTGTAAACGCGTGTTTACCCACAATAAAACCTGCTATCAACGAGCTGTTTGGGTCGTACGTACACCTCCTGACTACTTGACTGCTTGACAAGGAATCTTGATTTCGATCTCGAAGGCTTTAGGCTAACACTCAATAGTGGCACGCTCCGTGGCGCGAAAGGTAGTTCCAACAGCGGTGGTGTTTATAGTAGCAGATCGAGTCGAAAGCTCAACGGAAAAGTGAAAGGCAACCTTACTCGGGATTTCGAACAGCTCGATGATGAACTTGCACTAAATGAAGTGCACATTAACAATCATTCTACTGTCGGTCTCGTCAGCGGTGACCACAAATTGTCTAGCCCAGATTTACGTTGAATGATGGGGAAGATCCAATGGCTCAAATTCACTATTGCAATCCAGGCGGGCATGTCCCGATCTACCATTCTGGAATTATGTTGTATCAAAGCCTGGCTTCTACGGTTTGGGTCAAGCGTTACCATAAGTTCTATTTGTTTTGTTTGCTTATGCTTATGGAAAATGTTTGCTTGTGTTAGCGTTTTACCCCCTCAGTCTCTTTACCCGCTGGTTACGGGCGAGCAAAGGTGTAACTGTTTAGCGCCGTGTCAGCAGTAGTCTTACTGTAAGTAAACGTGTCTAGTAAGTTGTTTTGCTCTGCCTTTGCATTTTTCCATTTCGTTTTTTTGTTTCTTTTCTTAATTTTCTTTTCTTTCTTTTTTTTTTTTTTTTTTCCCCTTTTTTTTTTTTTTTTTTTCCCCTTATTTCTTTATTTTCTTCCGGCCCCACTACCCGCTCCAGAAAGCAGCCAAGGCACAAATAATTCCCTCATTGATTGATGTCCTTACTAAAATGTACTAAGCACTAATAGAGTGGAGGACTCTCTTGGCACAGGAAAGGCGCCATATAGTGCGATCGCTTAATTTAAATTAAATTTAACTAATTGCCCTGCTGTAAGAGGGCTCTCTGAGGATAGCCGGAATCGGAGAAATTCAGTTAAGACAATGCTACGAAGTAGTCAGGACTCGACACCAGGGTTTCCGTTTGGACCCCACGCTGACAGCGCATATGGTGCCGCACTTACAATCCTTTACTCCACATCCGCTGCAACCTTGTACAAAGTAAGCATAACAGGGGGTGGCGCCACGCAAACTCCGCGGATCAAAAAGGTTTTTCAGAATCTTGGGTGATTGGCCTTTTATCACATGCAAAGTACTATTTACCAGGTTATGAGCCTCTCTCGGATCACCTTCCCGGAATTGTATACCTCGGTTGTGCAGCTGTTTCCTGTTTTGAAAAAAAGAACAAGAGATAAGAGGTATTATCACCTCGTGCGCTTATCGCAATATTAGTCTATTACGCTTCCCACTCTTTGGTTTGAATCTTTTTGGTTTGGATTCGACTTGGTATTGACTATATATTGATGATAAGTGCCACCAAATGTCTATGAAAGAAGGTATATTCCACCATACCCTTACACCTTTGCGCTTGTCAACATCCCGTAGAATAACGTGTATTTAAACACAATACCTCATTGATTCTTTCTATATAATGTATGCCCTTCTTTTTCTAACTCTTTCTAACGCTACATGGAGGAGTGACTCGTTAGTTGAGTATAATAAATCGTCTCCTGCCAAAGGGGCTGCACAGGTCTTAACTTATGAGTTCCTTGCTAACTCAACTCAGCCTTTCATAAGTTAGTTATTTAAACTCAATCTACTAGTAATTAAACATACATAGGATTATGTAACAGTATAAGACGAAATCTTCATGGGGTAAGCAGACCTGGAAAATATATCTTCAATCAATATGTTTCTTGTGGATCTAATGTGCAACACTGTAGCTCGAATTTGCATTCAGCTACACTGGTCGGTCCACGAAGAGAACGAGGACGGAGAGTGCCATTGAGTTCCGTTGTTGGTCCCCTACAGCTAAGGCATATCTGGACACAGAAAGGGAGCAGACTGCATCCTGCGCTGGGCCAACCAGAATTATTATTACCCTCCAAGTAGCCAAGACTGATCTACTGCTCTAAAATCCCGTTGCGTTATATTTATGATCTTAGACTACGCTCTAGAAGTTTATGACTCCGGGCGTACACTGGACATGATTTGTTATTTTTATATATCATTAAGTTTATTTAAGGAGTGCCACAAGCTATTGCATAATCTAGCTAGACTGAGATTGCAATGTTTACTTGAGGGCCTCGGCGAATAGTCCGCTATTTTGCTTTCCATATTAAACATTATTTGTCTACTTAAAGAACAGGTGACAGTCAAGACAAGAAGATCCTACCGTTGAAATAGATGAAGAAGAAAAAACATTGCCCTAAAGGCTAAACCTGGGAAGTGAAACGGAGTTGTAGATAGTATATAGGTACCTGTCCTCAGTGGACCTTGCCTGGGGTTCATATAGCTGTAAACTAAGTTGTGCGTCTTCTACTGACAGGTGTGCTTCAGAGACCTATCTAATACAAAGGGCGGGCCCTTTTCGTTACACCCCATTGCAATCCATCCAGAGCATCGGCGGAGCCCGCAGGGCCAATAGTGCTTATCCAACTGAGCGGAATGGCAAAAGTCGGCTCTTCTCGTTTCCAGATAGCCAGATGTTGCGGGTCGACTGGAACATGATCGTGGTTGTGCCGTCATCATTGTTGACTTCCCAGAGGTTGTGAAAGTCGTGCTGTAGACTCTTAAATTGCCCAAATAGACGTTTCATCCACGCCCACATCTCGTCCCCGCCATTGTACTGGGCAGTGATCTGGTTGTGAAAAACGACGGTTTTAGTATAAAACCGTAAGCCCGAGCCATGATTGAAGCTATAGGTATCAACTGTATCAATATAGCTTTGCAAATGTTGTTGAGATGAGCTGGGGTCTGTGGTCTGGTTGAGGCGGAAATACAGCTTACAAGCTGGGTCATGGTTGGAGAAAAGAAAAGAACCCAAGTGAAAGCCCAGCGGTTAAAGAGAGATAGCTCCCTTGCTTGATCCAGATTAATGTGTAGAAATTCGCAATCTTCCTATAGGTAAGTAGATAGGCATCAAAGCCGGCAGCCGAACGGACTGTACTGCTATTCCAGTACGAGGTTCGTCATGTTGCCGAAGCACAAGACTTCTGGTATCTATCTGGGGAAGTTCGTACACTGAAGGTCACATTCTCAAAGTTGGCAGGTCGATCGTCGAATTAAAACTGTTATTAGCCAGATGTAAGGTTGTCCTATAATCTTATGTTTGATCCGGTCCTGTCTAACTTTCATGCGTGCGCATAGCCCTCTCTTTATTGGATGGAATACGTTCTATAGCATACACCGAGCTGACCTAATTCTGAGACTAAACAAGTTATTCGAAGACGGTAAGTTTCCGATATCTTCAGTAGAGACAATGCTACTAAGAAAAGTTTGCCCTGCTAACGAGCTTGAAATCGGGTTCGTAGATCGCCTTCCCGTGCCAGAGAAGAGCCGGCTCGGGTGCCCGTGGTAGACAAAGATCCTCGCGCATTTTCCGTTCTTCCTTCAGAGAACAGCTATATCAGCTACAGCTCAGGATTACCATTCGGATGGGCAAATGATATGACACTCAAGAGGTATGTGGCACAATTTGTTTCTGAGTAACTGGAGTGTAGGGAATGGGTCTAACCATAAAAAAGCCTCGAGGCATTCCGAGCATACAAACCTTCGGCGCTTATTTAACGTATCAGCCCGACTTTGTTGTTAATGATTGTGTTGAATAATGATGTTGTCACGCCTACCGACCTTGCGCTTGGTGCTTTCGCAAGAGCAAAGAAACCCAAGCATTTGCACATTCTACCGGGAGGTCATTTCGACCCATATAATGGGCAACTCTTCGATGAAAATGCTCCGGTACAGGCCCAGTTTCTACAAGAGCATCTATTAAAGTAGGAGAACATTGAACTGTTCTGATCGTCTGCTGGTTATTTAGTACGTCCGCTATTTGGACTGTGTGTATCGTCAAACAGCTACTACTGGAAGACATGAAGCTGTTTCAGGCACCTGACAACAAAAAAAAGGGTCTGTTTGTACAAGATAGCATCTTGCCTGTCCCTTCTTGACGGATGTCTATGCTCGCCTGACTGGATCGAGAAATTGAGCACAGTTCTGAAGCTATCGTGGTTTGTGTAGAGTCTGGCCTGCGGGAAGCCGGTTCATCTCCGCTTCCACAACTCTTTCCGTTCCAGTACAAAGCGTCTCGTTGTTTGGGTCTCTAAAACAAGTCCATGGATTATAGTTACCTACCTAAAGCCATTAAAAATACTTGTTCCAGGATCAGGCTGTTTAAAAGAGATTGCTCTCCTCAATCACCATCCCTACCTCCATATTTTTCAGGATCAACCATACGTTCCTTGACCCAGGTGTTAATTGCATCCATATCCCGACACTGTACTTCAGAGCTCCATGAAGCATGTAGTCCCGCCTGTCGCTCCTTAGGAGTCTTTCGTAGGTAGTCCTCCGTATACCGCTCTGTGCCGTCATCGTCAATATATGTGAAGTTGGGATCCCACCAGTACACCAACGAGATGTCACCATGACATAAAAGAGCCTGACGAATGGCATCGAAGCAATGATCTGCGTATAGATTAGTTGGATAGGACTAGGGAAACTTTTCGACAGCATGCTAATACGCACTTTTATGTATTTCAACCTGCTCCATAGACATATTTGGATAGAAAACATCCGGATAAAATGATTTCCGAAGTCGATTAAGACAATGTAATTGATGGTAAACCCCGAGTCCGTAAATCAGATACCCGGGATCATTGTATAACTCCAAGGATTTGGTAAGCCATGCTTCTTGGCTGTCTCTATATCCATCTTAATTCCATTGTCATTCTCTAAGGCTGGTTAGCTTCCCAATTTATGAACCTCTGGCGACTCCAGTAGCCCTACCTAATGCCCACCTTGTCCATGGATCTTCTTTCCCAGGAACAATCGGCAACTGGAATTCAGCATCGGGCTCATATATCGTGTTCATATATTGGACAACGCCATCTTCGCGCAACGGAGCTTGTTTTGCGTCATCAGTCTTTATTGCCCGATTGATCTCTTTTTTCGACTTACAATATGGAGGATCAGGTCCCTTATACAAGAAATATTGTTTTTGCAGTAGATGTATTGCACCAGATAAAAGAGCCAGGAGACATATATTCACACAGAAGAGGACTGGGACACAACAACTGAATTTTTGTCGAGATGTTTTCCTGGGCAATTGATATGGCTCTGGGTGGAGAAGACCAGCCTTTTCAGTAGCATGCTCCTCGTCATCATCGATCTCACCCTTCTGGGATCGGAAAATGTTCAAGTTCATCAATGAAAGCGCCATTAAACGGCTATAGGCTTCTGCTGATTGGTGGGTAGTGCGTAGTGAGAGATAGTAGAGTTGCGAATAGGAGACCTTTTAAGAGCTCGAGAAATGGGGAACGGTTTGTCCTCGCCAGCGCAGAAAAAGTCGGTGTGTCTCGATTGCTAGAGGTAAGTCCCATATCATCTGGATGATATGCACCATCTAAGCACTTGAGGAGCTCGACATCCTCTGTCGCGCTTTCAGAATTTTCCGACGGTAACCCCATCCCTGACATGTATGCAGACTCGTCCTTACACGTCCCTTTTAGGCAAATGTCGCTTCCTCCTAGCTTCTCTCCGTGCGGGGTTGTGGTCGAGCCCCTACCTATATCTCCGACTCAGTTCCTCCATATGCTTACTTCGCACCCCACCGTTTGGCCGTGTAACCGTATAGGAAGCCAAGGGGTGAAGACATCGACACCTGACAGCACTCACCAAGTCTAGGGCCATTCTCTATAATTTACGGAGTTCACAAGGTAATCATATCTGTGTGCGGGACGTTTGGTCGGGTGACCAGCTACAAACGTGAGGGGTTTGAAGTATCTCGGATCAACAACAAAGTTGACGAGATTGATGCAGTGTAATAGGTGAATAGACAGCGAGTGCGCCGGGTTTTTTGTAAGTATATTGGAAAATCTTCTTTTGTTCACAAGCCAATAACCCCCAAATATAACCTTCGCTAATATCCTGCTATTTAGTGCAACCTCGACAACATGAGTATTACTCAAGGTTTGTGCCTACCATTCGGCATACTCCAACTGTCACGATATTCCTGAATGAGTGTCTAATTCAACTATTCTGCTTCACCTAGTGATATACGAAGGGTGGTTGAGTATCATGTGTGGTGTGTATGGTGAGACAAGTATGGGCCTTACGTACTTCGGCATGTAGTACAGTGACTCAATAGCACGACTAGAGCATTGGAGTACTTGCGGGTCAAAGAACTACTGTTCATGCAGGTAAATTCCCTCAGAAGATCTTATATCCATAACCATACAATGTCTAGATTGCGGAATATAAATATGTACACTCTAAGACTCGGCTCAGCTTTATCTACAACTCTCAACCCCAGTCGTCCAAACTTTCAAGTCATTTAAATATCTTGCTTTGATAACCCGACACATTCTATAAAGTTTCCAGACTCGGTCCTCCTCAACATGCTTTTCACCTCTGTCTTTGCGATGATTGCACTTCTCGGCGCCGGCTCACTCGGGGCTGCCGTGGGGCTTCCTAAAGAACAGGATAGCCATCAAGAACTGTCGCAAGCCAACGAAAAGCCCGAGGATTTTGCCAAGCGTCTTTTCAAGGGAGACATCCTGTATCGTGATGTTGATGAGACCGAACCTGCAGGTTTGGACAAGCGTCTAAACAGGGGTATCATCTACCGCAAGTCTGATGACACTGAACCCGAGACTCTTGACAAGCGTATATTTGGAGATATCAAGTATCGCCACCTTGACGAAACCAATCCTGAGAAGCTTGAAAAGCGTATTAATAGGGGCATTGCCTACCGCAGGTCTGATTATAGTGAACCTGAGACCCTCGACAAGCGTCTTCACCATGATATTGTCTACCGCAGGTCTCATGACACTGAACCTGAGGCCCTCGACAAGCGGGGAATCGTCTACCGCAGGTCTGATGATAGTGAACCTGAGACTCTCGACAAGCGTATCTTCGGTGATATCAAATATCGCCACCTTGATGAAGCAAATCCCGAGAACCTTGACAGGCGACTCAATCGGGGCATCGCCTACCGTGAGGCTGATAACACTGACATGGGGAGTCTAGATAAACGTCTCCACAGGGAGATCGTCTATCGCAGAGACGTTTAATGAGCTATCGTCAGAATAGCTCAAATGTCCTTTATGGGTAAGTCGCTCCTCTATCGCCGTATGCCATCGTGTTATGTATGCATGTGACTGACTCTACTGCATAGCAGGCTCACATCTTATCATCAAAGAACACATATAAGTCCATCAGGAAATTGAATTGCATGAACAAGCTAGGACCATAATCAAACTGTCACAGTCACGAATTTTGGGCTGGTCTACTGCTTGTGTTAATGTCGATGGTCTGGGTTTTTTCAGCACTAGTAACGTTGCCTCAGCTTGTTATCTCCTCGTTTCTTTCTATTAAAAAAGAAAAAAAAAAGAAAGAAAGAAACAAAGAAAGAAAAGAAGAAATCCAAGTCTATCCACAGTCTACACGTGTAGTATTCTATACTTGAATGGGGCTGTACAGAAGCCAAACGTAAACGCGTATTTTGTTTTGCAGAACATCTCGCCTCAATGATACCCATATCATCACAGCTTGCCACACACATGAACTTGCTACTAGTGAATGTTTCTCAATATTTTTAGGATTGGCCCAACGCGTCAGACATGCTCAAGTAGTAATATTGGGTTAGATATGTTAAGCGTATGTCTTTTCTTCTAAGCTTTGAACAATAAGTATTGCCATTGAGGATTTGTCTGGGCTTGTTATTATCACTAGAGCCCGGATGCGCAGACTCTTTGGACGTTCTGATTTGCCCACTCACAATTGGTGGGTCGGAATTGGTCGAGCAGTAATTCATATACTAGGTCGGAGGCACGCCAAGCCCTTGCCTCAGTCGGACATAAGTAGTCAGTAAATTGGGTCACTTCCAAGCGAAGAAACATCTGTTCTTTTTGTAACTATGGTCAAGGAAATTATAGGCTGGATCATATTTTCTTCCAATAACACTACGTGGTGAATTCACAAGATTGGTTAAACACTAGCGAGAGCCACACAAGCCGGTCGAAGGACTTTATAGACCGCTTAACTGCCCAAGGTACCCACATGGCCACTTTTTCCTAATGTAAAATTCTTGACCAAAGGGTACTATGGCATCTCCTTGAAATATTCGGAAATCTACCTTCAATGGCTCAAAATCCAGCTCCAACGCAAGTAGTCTGTCACGAGTAGTAGGGTCTGGTGTCAGTATTTTCGCGCGTACCCCGTCTGCGGAAGTTGACGGGTCTTGCTCTCTTGACGCGAATCGGAGGTACAGCTTTCGCAAGGAGGGTACATGCGTAGGGCAATGTGTTATCAGACTTTTCAGTTCGGTATACAGTGCGGATGAGCACTGAAGGAGGCAATGGTCGATGAACAGATGACTGAGCGAGCATGGAAGAACTTGCCAGAGCGGCGCTACCGGCTTCATGCTTCCATGTTCAGTAAATTGCAAGAGATTACCCCACCGCATACAAACGGTCTCTAACCGAAGGAAGTTCGAGAGAGATCCAAAAAAGACCGGTGTGGGGGTCTTTGCATCTTGCCGGACGTTCCAATCACTGAAGGTCAAACTCAAATGGCGGAGCGAAAAACGAGAGCTCTGTAGAGACTGGTATAGCTGAGGTAGGTCTTGCCAGTACTGACTTTCATATTCATGCCAGCCCTGCTGTTGCAGTGTAAATGACTCGAGCGCAGAGCATCTATTGAGAAGGTGAGGGAGGCTTGGCAATGCTGTATCAGGGCATTCAAAATCCAGGTGGGTGAGTAGTGCGGTCGAGAGACCGTTAGGTATGCTAAGTGGAGATAGGTCACAAGGGTTCGAGACGTATAGCTTCCGCAGAGAAGGAATTCGAAGAAAGGGCAGTAATCGAGTCAGCGGAACCGCATCCACCGATAACTCGGATTCCCAGATACAAGGCCCGTTTGTTAGTGAGATATGCCTGAGCTTAGTCAAGATTTCTAACTCAGGATGGCTGGCCCATTCTATAACCCGCTCAAAGTGAGGTGAACGCCTAGGGGGAACCGGTCCGTCCTCATAACCTCCTATCCATACCTCTTCCGGGAGGGCAACCGCAAGCTTCTCAAGATTCCAGAGCTGGACTAACAACAGCGCTAGCCAGGCATCTTCATAATAGTGGAGAGCCCGATGGAAATCTGTTCGCTCGGAAAATTTCTTGAGGTCTCTGCGCCAAGCATAAAATTTCCGGCGGTGATTTCGTTTAGACTCTCCGTGAGGTAACATGAAATGGCGATATTGTTCTTCATCCAGAGTCTCCAAGGAGGGTAGTTGCTCCCATTTCCCCTCCTTACAGTCGCTAGGATAAAGCTCCAAAGATCGAATTAATGAAGCAAGCGTAGGGTTTGTAATCATCACTTGGGTGAATCGACGCACAGGAAGATGGGATTCAGGCATCATTCCGTAGGCAGTACCAAGATAATCATATTCATTGAGGGGAATTGAGACGTGTTCATAGAGATGCGGAATGAACACATTGTACAATGTCTTACAGACAAGAACTAATCGAGTGTAGTCATGTGGGGTAAAGTAAGGTATGATGTGAAGTAGAGTCTCGCTCGGAATTTTATTCAGCATTTTGGGCAATATGTAGAGGATGTGAGTAGGAGAGGAGGAGGGGGCGACGAGAAGGAAGGGGGGAAATAGTTTAATGCTCAAGTAGCCCATGTGGGGCAAAGGACAACTTGGTACTAATCGGAACCGGCTGGTCTAAGGGATCATAGCCGGAGGTAGAAATGATAATGGTATCGGTGATAATGACCAGCGAATACAATACGAGATTATATGGTACAATAAGGAGACCCTACATAACGGCTGTGTAATTTCATTGCTATCACCTTAACTTTTAGAAACCCACATAAATCTCTCAGGCAATAGATAGTACACTAGTTGACGACAACACATCATCGGGGTGTCTCTTCGACTTCTGCCGCCGCTTATCGAATTGGATCACAATGTGTGCCTATTACTAGGGCCTTGCAGTATGTAGACCGAGGCTTTACAGCGTGAAATAATCAAACTGCCAATTGTGCCAGAGCATTGCTCTATCGGCTTCTATATCCAGCACTCAAGTAGGTATGTATGCTATTATGCGCACAGTTCTTCTTTGTCCCTCTCTTGTTCGTGAAGCCCAAATATGCATAACACTGAGTTCTAGACCAGCCAGTACTAAAGGATTAGTATATGGTATTGTTTGCTTTTTTACATAAACCTGACGACTTCAGAACGGTAAGAAACCATTGAATCACACTCTTGTTACTTGGAAGTTTCGAGAGTGAGCTCAGCGCAACATATATTGCTATACAGACCTAGTGTCTTTCTATATACCGCGATTACGGCGATGCTATAACTATACCGATCCCATTATCGAATGGACAACACACTATAATCCCCCTCCCCACCTATTACTACATGGGTCACTCGTAAAGGTCAGGAAGGGAAATGATGCAAGTATTGTGTTGATCTGACACAGGCTGATTACTTACTGTATAGTCGGACTTTCAAGTCTTCCAATAGTTTATCCTTCTCAAAGAACAACACACCCTCATATTGTCCTTCAATTAGACCCCAGTACTCCAATTGTTCCATTGCGTCTAGACACACATCATCCTTTGTTCGATCCGTATGTTGCTCGGAATCTTCAAGATCCACAATAAAACTGTAGCAAGTCATCAGGAATCCGTATGATAAATCAAGGGGGGTCGCGTACCATTGTCCACTTTGAGGCTCCCATATAATGTTTTCTCTTCGTGGATCCCAATGAGTGAAATGGCGGGACTGCAGTTCGCTGTAGGTCCATTAGCAGGGCTCTAATTCGGATATGCTCCCACCGGAGAGTCTTCTGTCCCGGAATGTATAGAAAATACATACCATAACGCTTCAACGAATGCAATTCAAATACGGTTTTGCTCCTCTCTTGGAAGTGTGTCGAAGCCATGGAGATTCTCCCCAGGGACCTTCTGCATCACAATATATGCAATGTACCCGCCTGGTAATTCATTGCTAGAGTCTTGCAGTTCGAAAGCGTACCCAAGAAGCTTAGGTATCTTCCTGCAGTCTTCTAACTGCGATAGATTATATATTTCGCGGTAAACACCGTCACTGGGCTCGGAATACCTATAGTTACTCCAAAACGTGATTCTACTGATGTTAGTCCTATTCGTTCCTTCCTTTTGACCTTATCTTTATAGCAACAGTGTAAACATGCTGCTTTTTGACTTTTATGATATCGGGCGTATTGGAAGGTTGATCAGCTCTTGTAGCTTCATAAACCTCATGTCGCTCATACGTAAAGCCACCTTGTGGGTCTTCCTGTTTCCGAATCTTGCTTGAGAGTTTTCTGCCGACTTTCCAGGCTCCGAATTCAAAGTCTAGTCGAGTATCTAATAGTGATTTGTGACTATAAGTACTGGAAGCCATGGTTGTTGCTATCAAGGCGGTAATAGTGGGAACTTTGAGAACAGCGAGAAATCCGTAACGACCAACAACGTCACGTGGTGTGGCCTTGTTATTTTCGATCAGGGAAACGTTGTATTCTCTTTATGGTCATTCACAATGAGATAATGAATAACTTGTATTGTTAGCAGTCATACATTTAGCTGCTTCTAATATAAGGTACATATTATCATGCATCGCTGGCTTAGAGAACATGGATGTGGACATAACACTCCGACATTAACAACAACAAATATATATCAAAACAGGAAATTGTCACTAAGACTTCAATATAGCAACGTCACTGTTTTCCCTGTTCCTCAACGTCTGTCATGAACAGTGCAATCCGAGATCAGAAGGCCTTAACTGACAATTTGGCTGCCTTGCTTAGCTTTCACGAGGCATAGTAGTGACCAGAAGGATGGGATGAAGAGGGGTGATATTACCCATTTCTCGCCCCTCTTGTAAGCTGTCATATGCTATATCTGCAAACCGGCTCCTCCAAGCTCGACACCATGTTCATCCCGAAAGCTGTCAACGGTATATCTACAGTTGACATTTGAGTCTGACCACGACTCATGTGACCTCAGCTAGCGCCCGGGCATTGAGGGGGTCTCACTCAACAGCTTCAACACACCTTAAGCTCTCCGTTTCGACTTCAACATCAGCCATCTCCAAATACTTTGCCCTTTCTATCAGCCGAATCCTCCAAAATGGGAAGGAAAATATGGAAAATGCTAGGTAAGAAAGATAAACCTGCATAACTCACATATATATAACTAGACCCTCACCCAAATAACAGAGAACAACCCCGACGTAATGAACCAACTAGCAGCAAAGCTAGGCTTATCGCCAGAGCTACAATTCTACGACGTCTACTCCCTAGATGATCTCTCGCAACTCACCCACATTCCGCGACCTGCCCTAGCCTTGCTGGTTATCATCCCACTTACACCAGCCTGGGACCAAAACCGCAAGGCCGAAGATGCTGACAAAGAAGAACCCTATCCTGGCTCCGGCCGCCCTGATGAGCCCGTCATCTGGTTCAAGCAAACCATCGGTCACGCCTGTGGCTCGATCGGTCTGCTTCATAGCGTGATAAATGGTCCGGCTGTTGACTTTATCAAGCCTGATTCCGATCTCGCGGAGATACGCAAGCAAGCTATACCGCTGGATATGGACAAACGCGCTGAAATGCTGTACAACAGTGAGGCGTTTGAAGTGGCTCACAAGTCAGTCGAGCAGGCTGGTGATACCGATGCGGATTTATTGGATGAGCGTGATGGTGGGCATTTTGTTAGTTTTGTTAAGAGTGGTGGGAAGCTCTGGGAGCTGGAGGGGTCGAGGAAGGGGCCTCTGGAGAGGGGAGATCTTGCAGAGGATGAGGATGTTCTTAGTCCACGGGCGCTTGACATGGGTGTTAGGAGAATCATCAAGTTGAATGAAGATGAAGGAGGAAGTCTACTTTTTAGTTGCATTGCTTTGGCTCATAGGGCCTAGTGCCATGTTTAATGCTCAATTAATATGTTGTACCGCGATGACTGTTGTCCGCAATCTTATTGGTGGTGAAGTCCCGCCGCTGCTCTATATGATGACTAATTGTCAGCTCGGCTGTCGCCGGCTCCACCAGCAAAGTCAGCTAGCGCAAGCGAGGACCCACCGCGCAGGTATAAAAGGCGGCTTCCCCCCCAAAGATTTTGAAAATCAAGCGACTCTACGTTAGTTACCCTCCCCCCTACATTGGGAAGAGCCCACAGGAGAATCATCTGCTAACCACCTTTTTGCCTACAGTTCAAAGAATCACTTTAGAGTAGACGTCCCACCTCTGAGCTCTTCTAAAGAGCCACAGAATCTCCACCCTTGCTGATGACTGCTATGTCCTCGATGCCCTAAAGTGAAGCCGTTTTTTACTTCCGACTCGACTTCGCATTTGCACGCTCTGTTACGATCTGTCGTCAGATGGACTCGTTTCGGGTGTCGGTGCGATGGTCCAGGGAGTGGTGATGATCTTTACCTTGTCATGATGTCTTGACTTCGGTCGGTCGGACTTGGTGGGTGTCGAGGAGGTCTGAAAGGTGTTTTCCCTTTTTCTTTGATTTCTTTTATTATATTTCATCGTTTTTGTTTTCGGGAAAATAAACATTAAATTAAAAAATGGAAAAACAATTCAACAAGCATGATCTTTATATTCTCTTCTCGTACTGTCAGGTTTTTTCACCTGTCATCTAGGCATGTGACGATAATGATAAGTCCACCCGACCACAGGTTTTTAGAAACGTCGCAATCACTTTCTCGCCATTGCTATGGTTTGTCGAAATCGAACTGGGATCCCCGCTGTCTGCGTCGGAGCAATCTTCGATTCGGATCTGATGAGCCTGAAAGGGCTTATTTGTACGTTTATATGTCACAGTCTAGATTGGAAGGGGTATTGATCGATCATTGTATCTACCTGCGAACTACACTTGTGACACGGGTTCAGTCGCCAAGGTCGCCACAAAGCGAACTATGCTGAAGGTATAAAGACAATCTCTCCCGACTCAACCTTCTTCCGCCAAAGGGTCTTGAACGTCTCTTGCTGCTCTGTAAATCTCTGCACGAACTCCTGACCTTCTTCAGATATTCTCGCTATTGCTCGCCTTCTGTCCACATATCCTTGTATCTCTTCTCTTGACATATCACCCTGTGATTGCCGCCTCTCAATTTCCTCGTCGAACTCTGACAACTGAGTTTGTGCTTCTTCCTGCTTCTGTAGTGCTTTTCCATATCGTAATCGGGCATCAGCAATCCAGTTCTCGACTAGCTCGTTTGCCATATCAGGAGGGGCGTAGAAAGTGAGCCCCAAAACTCTTTCCTGAATTGAAGACAGTAGCTGACTGAAATGCTGCACCTTGTTCCACGGAACCCATTCGGCTTGCTGCTCAACTTGGGTATCATAAGTTTGCTCCTGTTGTTGAAGCGCTAGTTGAGGTTCCTGATATGCTTGCTGAACATCCCTGAGTCGTTGCGACAAAAGTGTCAACCTGGTGTGCGCCGTCTCATACTCTTGGCTCGGGCGATCACTGTCATTAAGAACTGTCCACAGGTTTCGCACGAACTCCTTATGTGCTACTTTCTCCTTCTTACCCAGGTGTGGCATATTCTCGATTTCGTCGACGGTAAGCAAGCCGGGACCCTGCCAATGTGAATTTGCCGAATTGGATTCGCCTGTCGTGGCTTCTACCCCTCGGGTCGAAGACTTGTCAGTGGCTTCGATGTTTTGTGGCCGCTTTGGAGAGGAACCTGTGCAGTCATGCATGCGGTATGCTCTCGTGTCCTGGAATTCTTCTTTGCAGAATCTGCACACCAAAGCGATCTTCGCTCGCTTGGAAGGGAAAGAGTGCATTTCCCTTGCCTTTTTCTCATGAGTATCCGCGATGTGTTTTTCGAGTTGCCTCTTTGAGCTGAACCCAATAGTAGCTCTGTAACATTGAGGAAAGGAGCATTCAAAAGCTCTATCGTGCTTGCTCAAATGAGATTCTCTTTGCTGGACAGTCTCGAATCCTTGATGAAAGAACTCGCAGCTCATTCTGGGGCATTTATAGAGACGGTGGCCGTAGAAGGAATAGAGTAATCTGCTATCAGCTCTCCCATTGGCCGTATTTTCTGAGGCGGTTTTCTCTAGAATTTTCCTGATGCGAGTGATAACATCAGGTATGTCGAGACATTCATTGGTTGCTGCGTCTTGAGTGAAACAGCTTATTTGATTCTGCGTTGAGGCGAAGGCGTTAAGGAATTTCTCCGATGTAGACCAGGGTCCGTGTTCTTCAATCCGCCTCTTTACCTCATATGCAGAAGAGGGAATGTTGATTTCTTTTGCGGGATGTCGGTAGTGCGACTCTAGGAATTTCGAAAGAACTTCAATCAGCATCATAGCGTCCTGCCGATCTATGATGCGCTTGAGGCCCTCCTGGAGATGGGATGACCAGAAGCATACTGCGTAGTCTAGGAATGTGTAATATCCAGTGTTTATGAGGTCTGCAACAGACTCGTCTGGCAGGAATGTCTCAAACCCGGGTAGAGCTAGGTAGCCCATACAGAGAGAAGCCATCCTCAGCTCCACTTGTCTGACATCAATGAAATTTGTTCGAATAAGGAACCTAAGGCCCGATAATGTCAGAAAATAAGGAAGAGGATTTAGAGAAGCTAAACAGGGTGGCGGCAGCCTTCCAGCTTAGAATGTGGACTTACAGCTTTGCAGTTGCATGAACAAGTTCAAGAGAACCATCGGTCTTGACTTCGACAAGCGAATCGCATAGGTCTCTAGAATCAAGGATCCATTGGCGACCTTCAAAGTCAACATCTTCGGCTTCAAGGTCAATTGAAACCGCGCCCTGTATCTCTCGCCATTGGAGTCTCCGTTTTGCGCACACTAGCCAGCCGAGAAGCTGAACTGCATGAGTTCGTGAAGCCTGCTCTTCAAGGATATTGTTCAATATCCGCTCGTATCTGCATACCCCAGCACGATTCAGCCTGAAAGATCAACTGAATATCAAGGGACAAGACTCACGCTTGGTCAAGTTGAGTTGGTATTTCTTTCGTGTTCAGCTCTTTATAGAGATCACCAGGTGAGACTTGACAGTAAAGGTTGTTCATAACAAGCTTCGCGAGAAGAAACATCCCTTAGAAACACTTCTATCAGAAAGAACCATTTGATTTCTCACATAGCATATTCGTAACCTACCGCCCGCCTTTTCCATGACAAGCTCAACCATCGCTTTTGTGCTTTCGTCATTGAGTTGAAATTTCTTTTGCACCTCTGAGCCTCGGGACCTTATATATGTATAGATGTCGTCTCGCGTATCCTTCGAAGTGATTTCCAAGCTTGGAATATCACGTAAAGTCTTGGAGGTGATCGCGTCCCTTTGTGACACAAGAATACATATCGTGGAATCTGAACTATCACGATTCTGTGGATGCTCGCTCATGAGGCGGATCCATTGAAGGACCTTCTTCCTTTCTATTTTACTGCACTCATCGAGACCATCGAGGATAATGCAAACCTGTCCCGAATTTCTCATCATTACCTCGAGTATCTCTTTGGCTAATGTTTCTGATGAAAATGCTCGCTTGCCTTTGCGACACATCTCTTCGAAGACATAAGGTATCAGATCGCTTTTTTTGTCTAGCAGCTGTGCGATAACACTGGCAGCCAAGCTAAGGAAGGAGCTTCGTTGCGAATCGCCATGCCTGAAATAGAACCAAATCGTAGATTGATAGCATTTGAGACAATCTTCGACCATTAGGGATGTCAGAATAGTCTTTCCTGCAGCATGATGAATTAGTAGAGTCCCCTTCCAACTAAAGACATGAGGATAATACCAGCGCCTGGGATACCGTTCACCCAGAGCATCCGCTGCGCATTTCTTTCCTTCCACGCACAATAAATCTTGTGACGCAAAATTCAAGTTCCGGCTTGAGTATTGCAACTTCGCACACTTCTGAAAGATTCTTGATCACATGCAACGTCTGCGCTATTCAGCCAGCATTGAATATCTCTCAACTGGCGCATTGTCTCGTCTTTTCGCAACTTCTTAAGTGCATCAGCGGATCTGATCCCTTCTACGCGGATCTCGAGTTGTGCAAAAGTGAGCCTGTCCCCAAAGACCTGTCTGTGGCGTTTCAAACTGTCGACAACCGGTCCGAACTTCGCCTTATAGGTGGACCAGGTGGCCTGAAAGACCTGTTTCCACACTTGGTGAGATCAATATTATGTACTCGAATGCCTCCAATGGCACATCACTCACTTGGCTTCCTGAAGTAAGCAACCGCAGTTTTGTGAAACTCCAGAATGTCATGAAACATAGACTCCACAGCTCGTTTAACTAGAGGGTATCCATCAATAAGTCCATTGCAACTTTCTAGAAGCTCTAGGCTTTCTCCGATGACTTTATAAGTATCCAGAGCTCGTTGAAAGCTTCAGATACAGAACTCGCAACCTGCAGAATATTAGGAGCTGGAAGCACAGTGACTTAGATTGGGCAATACCTGTAACAGAAACTTCATTGGCCCCTGTTCGACCATGTAAGCCAGTATCAATGCATCGGACCATAACGGACTGGAAGTACCCAAACAAATCCCAGAAGATTAGTCGTGTTCAGCAAGGTCTCTATAACTTCACCGTGTCTCTCCATTATATCCACAAACTTAGAGAGGCGTCGCATATTTTGCAGGCGTCTTTCTGTGGCTTGTTTCCTTTCGATCTTGGCGATTGAGCGTTTAAGAGCTGCCAAAGATGTCATCTCGAATTCCCGCACAAGGATAGGCCCTGACTGAGACTTGAATGAATCCAGGGCCAGCTGAAAGCTGGTGACTTTTTCCGTCGCCATGTCTTTTATCGTCTCTTGGCATGTAGAAAGACACGTCAGGCCTCTGTCTTCAATCGCGACAAGGCTGTGATGGCATGGCGGATGGCCCGTGGCCGACCGGGCAGCGATGTGGCAGTGCAGCTGATGCGTCAAGCGGCTAGCGCCAGAAATCTCCTGAGATCAACATCTTACGGGTAGTTCCCTCATGAGCAGAACCCGCGAGAATTCGTCTTCGTACACAGCGCACGGGCGAAGGCTGTCTATGATAGTGGAGTGTTTGTTCTGTTATAACGAGGGCGAGACATGGCAGAAAATCGGGCTGTTGGCGGCATCAAGAGGAAATACCCCGCTGACGGAGTCGGGGGCTTCTGTGATGGTCCGGACTCTTCCAAAGCCCGCAAAGTCAAACAGGAACAGGTCCATCGCGAAGAAAGCGATCTAACAAACGGCAAGTACAATCCTAGCCAACAGCCAGACGGCTCCGTAGTAAATGCAAACAATACAATACTTTGCTTTGGATCTGTACGTGCCTACACCGGTTTCCTTTTGGTTCATTTGCTTACCAAAATAGATTTGCAACATTCATGCACAATTCCTCACTGGCCCACCTGCAGGATGCAACTTCTCCTTATCAAATGCAGATGGAGATAACAAGGAAACGATTCATCATCTCGAGATTCTTTTGGGTTCTGAGAACTGTGTAATATACTCTCCGTTGGCAGATGATATAATAGGCTTCGTCAATTTGGGAGTTTCCAACGCTCTGAAGGATTTATTCGAAATCGAAGAAACACGACTGACAATCTCTCTTCTACCTTCAGAGTGGAAATGTATGACACAATACAACACTTCGAAAGCCTGGGAAACAAGTGTCGAGATCACTATTTTTGGATCACGGAAGAATGCTCTGCTTGTTGGTGATTGCTTATCATCTCAAGCATTATTCCTTCAAGACCCGACAACCTATTGTGATATTCAATATGAAAACCCTCATAAGTTCCCATTCATGAGTGTTGAGGAGCTTGATAGCGAAGCATCTGATTTAGATGACTACGGTTGCCTTACTATCGATGAACCTGTACCCACTTCCGCCAAAATCTCAAAGAGAAGTTTGCAGAATCTACTTGACAATTTGCACGAGCACGACTACCTTGAGCAAGTTCAGCCCGATGAGCACCTGGTTATTCCACTTTTTGCGTATGTATTTATAAAGACTTTGTTGGCACTTTCTCCCGATTAACATACTATGCAGCCACCAGAAAGAAGGCATCGATTTTACGATACGCCGAGAAACGGGTCGATCAACATCTTCCATATCCCTCTGGGATGCTCAGATGGACAATTACAGCAATCTTTGGTAAGGAGGCTTAGTAGGAGCTATTTCATGCTGGTATGCTGATTTGATCTCCACCAGCCATTATCATGCAATCACTGGTGATTCCGCTCTAGAGGTCCCAGTTGGCCCCTTGGGTGGCATCATTGCGGATACGATGGGCCTTGGTAAAACAGTGACAACGTTGTCAACCATTGCCAGCACTCTTCTTCACGCGAAAGAATGGGGCAAGAGAAGGGGCACGCCTTGGTCGGCTGGTCTAAGAACAGTAGCAGCCACAATGGTTGCTGTCCCAAATGAAGGTGAGATGCGACCCTGATACACAATTCAAGATGCTCGTTCTTACTATCCAAGCGTTGATGGAACAATGGCTCGATGAGATCCGCGAGTAGGTTTTCCACAGATCCCCAATGGGCTTCATTGAGTATAGTTCTAATTTTCATAAGTAAATTCAAGTCGGGAACTTTTAAAACCTGCAAATACCACGGTGCCTCGCGCAAAGTCCATTTCCCCACCTTCGAGGACTACGATATTGTGTTGACAACATACGGAACTATCAGTACGGAGTTTACCGAGAAGGAAAGTCCAATATTCCAAACAACCTTCTTTCGCATCGTTTTGGATGAAGGTACGATTGTAATTACTAAACCGCATAAAGATCGTTGATAACAAAGAATGTGTAGCACACCACATAAAATCGAGGTCCACGAGGATCCATGAAGCGGCATGTAATATTTCAGCTGACAGACGCTGGTGTCTCACTGGGACCCCAATACAGAATGATCTCGATGATCTTGGTGCTCTGGTGTCTTTCCTTCGTGTCCCTCTACTTGAAGAACGAGAAGTTTTCCGGAAACACATTGTCAATCAAACCAACAACATAGGTGGCAATCGCTTTGAAAACCTTCGCTTATTGCTTAGTTGTATATGCCTTCGTCGAACTATGAGCCTTGGTATGCTTGCGGAACCAACGATCAACAATCTAAAGTTAAACCTGGCTCCTGAAGAAAGGGAAGCATACAATAATATACTGGACTATCACAATCGACTCATTGATATCTCAGTCAGCAAAGTGGGCTCCGCGGGTGCGTTCCAAACAGTTCTGCGGCTGCGAATATTCTGCAATAACGGGCTCTACAGAAAGAAGGACATCCGAGCCTCCCCTACCGATCTCCTTACTTCTGAAGAGTACTTGAACTTTCTGCAAGAGAACCTTGGATCTCAGTCTTCTGGTATTGACAGTGATACTCTGGCTCTTGGCTCATACAAGTCCTCAGTCTCTAAATCTTCTCCTGAATCCTCTAATTCGATCGGCGAACCTTGCAGAATGTCCCTACAAAGCAGTAATGTGCTGGACCTGGCAAAGATAGAAGGTCCTGCATCGGAGTTATTGCACACTCCTAATCTTTTACGGGAATCACTGACCCCGGAGTACTTGTCTCTGGTGGATCAATCTCCACAAACTCTCGAAGGGACGTTCTCAACAAAACATCGTATCATTCTGAAGACTATACTTAGCCATATTCCGCAGGAGAAAGGGTACACCTAATCTTTTAACCTTCCATCTGGCTTCGCTAACCTCTTTCATAGAATTGTCTTCTCAGCCTGGACCAAGAGCCTCGACATCATGGCTGAGCTGCTACGCCAGCACGACATTACCTTTGCCCGAGTAGACGGTTCCATGTCGTTTTCGCAACGTCAGCAGGCCTTCCATAGCTTCAAAACGAGCAGTCACGTGAATATTCTTTTGATGACTATTGGCACCGGTGCGGTTGGGTATTTATTCCTCTCCCTAAACTGTCTTTACGTGCAAGATAGTTGATAATTAAGCAGACTGAATCTCTCCATCGCCACACGGGTGCATATCATGGAACCGTCGTGGAATCCAATGGTTGAGCAGCAGGCAATCGGGCGAGTTGTTCGTCTCGGACAAAAGCGACCGGTGGTGATTACTCGGTATATTATGAGGGATACTGTTGAAGAGGTAACATTTTTTTCTTTAAAATTTGCCTGCGACAAACATATCACTAACCTGCTTTCCAGAGCGTAGTGTCTCGCCAAGACTTGAAGCTCGACGTGGCTATGAGTGGTTTTGAGGGAGCTTCTCATGAAGGAGCTGGTGATGATGAATTTTCTAATGAGAATTGAGGTCTGGTTCAATTGCTACTAGTGAGCATCGATGGAATCTGGAATTGTTTTGACATCTGCACTGGAATCAAACAAATGTTGGTTGTATGAGTGAAAATCCTGGACGAAGAGCTGACAGGCTAGAGGCATTTCATGAGTCCTATTACGACTCAAAAATATACCTTACTGAATGTAAGTTCAATTGCATGAGTAAAGACCATATGGGTACAATATGACCTGATATGAATTGATATTTATGATTATTCCTCAATGTAAGACTCTTAATCAAGAGATTTGTACTTCAATGTCTTGTCCTTTTGTGAAGAATGATATACTTACAAGGGGATGACTTCCCGCCTCCAGACGTACTCGGTATATATGTCCAATTCAATTGGACTCAATATAACGGGTCCCACTGATTGACCATAATATATCAAGGGACATGTTTCTTTACGCCCTGGTGCTAGTCATCTTTGGGGAAGAAACTCTTACAATGATTCCCCTGCTGGCCGCAGAAGCCATCCCCTGGTTCGTCGACCCTTTCACTCTTATCACCCGCACGGGCATCAAAAAGCGGCACCAGCTCTCGATGCCCAGTCGCCACTGCCCACATCAACGCTGTTCGCCCTTCCTCATCCCTCATTGTGGCATCTACATCCTCACAGCTAAGCAGCAACTCCACCGCGGCCGCCGCACCGCGCCGCGCCGCCCACATAAGCGGAGTCGCCCCATCCCAGTCCCGGACATTCGCATTCACCCGTGACGGAAGCTGAAGCAAGCACCGCACAATCTCGATATGTCCCGCTGCTGCCGCGAAAGCCAGCGGCGTCCAGTTCTCAGAATCTGGTGCATCGGGCTCGATTGCCTCTATTTCCAGCAAAAGCCGGACCGCCTCCGTCGAACCCGCAATTGCTGCCTGGGCAAGAGGTGTCCGGCCGTCCCAGTCCCCGCGATTTACATCCACACGCGCGTCGCGCAGCAGGAGCCGCACAATGACGACATACCCTGAGCTGGCGGCCGCCGCTAACGCTGTGTCACCGTTATCGTCCTGCGTGTTGACATCCACGGAGGAGCTGTCGAGTAGTAGACGGACGATTTGGGCGTGGCCGTGACGCGCAGCAATTATTAGGGAAGTCTGGAGAGATGAGGGGCAGCGGATGTCGGGATTGCAGCCTGGGGTCCCGAGGATGGATTGCATCATGTCGGCGCGATTCCGCGCGGCAGCCCATAGGAGAGCGATGCTCTGGTGGTACTTCACATTCTGGTGGTAGAGACAAGCCTGGAGCATGTGGTAGAGTTGCCGGTTGGTTTGAATGAGGGCGTTTAGGTCCCCCTGGCTGGGGAGATAGTCGGCTATATAGAGCAGGAGCTCTGTGGGAAGTTCGAGGAGGCCCACTCCCATCGGATGTATGTTGGGTCGGTTCATGTTAGTTGTTTGCATTTATCCCCTTGCGTCGAAGAATGACTGCAAAGCTAGATAGACGGTGATTTGGCCCTTTTATGGCGTGTTGCGTCGTACACTGAAAATACGAGTGATGGTAAGGATTCAGGCTCCGGGTGGGAAGGGTATGGCTTATAAATTTGCGAAGGATCAATTTGCTAAGACGCATGAAACGTGGGATACTACCATTGGAAGATTCTCGGTAGGCAACGCAGGATAAGTACGCTCATCTATCCACAGCCGCACTCGCGCATGATCTGAGTTTATATAATATAAACCTCAATAGAATCATCTTGGTCGAACCCCGTAGATTCCTTGTAGAGCATGCTGGCCTTGGAGTCTGTATACCTCAAGGGAAGAATCCCACTCAAGCGAGAAGTCTTGAGCTGAAGTATATTGGGCTTACCGTCGCGAGAGGGGACCTCCGAGAGCTCGAGGGCGGCGTATCCATTTACAACCTTTCTCAAAGTGGCCAGGATTGGCTGTTCCATTGCCCTCTTCAGTGTGTGCATTAGAACTGCATTGGCTGCGTGGCTTGTGCGATCTAAGCACATGCTTCCACTAAGCACTGATGCGCAGGGCATTAGTTCAAGTCCGCGGGGATTACTTCTGAGATGAACTCCTGGTGGTGTTGGCTCGTACAATGGTGCTACAAGCTCGTTAGTACTTTAATCATTCCTCATTGCAACGCACAAATATCCTGCTTACCTTGACTATTGGACGATTGTGAACTCGGTCTTGTCTTACCCTTAAGATTTATATTTCTCGGTTGTTGAAGATGGGGCTTCGGAATGATCCTGGTATGAAGCAGTGTGCCCCATCTGTCATCCATTGAATGATCCCCTGATGACGCCGTTGAAAGGCCGGAGTGGACGGGCCGACGACTTATGAGAGCGACTGAAGATTCATACTCGGAATCCCGTAACAACGCAAGCCAGGGGTGTCGATCACATTTCTGAATTTGCAAGCATCCGCCGTCCTCCACATACCATGCACGGAGATTGCCTCCTTCCGCCGGCCCGGTGTATTGCAGATTGGTTAGAATAGTGCGAATAATGATTCGTGCCGAGGAACGGAAGTCTGTGTTTGCGGACCATGACTTCAGAAATTGCTGGAAGTCATCATTGAATGCGTCCAGGAAGGAAACTGTGTCCGTGGGCCGAGATAAATGATCTGGAAAAACACGGCTCACATAGTCCCTGATTGACTCCACCTGGAACAGTCTCCAAAGGGGCATTCGAAGCGCATCTCCAGTCAATGCACTGATCTCCAACCCCATTCTCACCTGCAGTGTTTGCGGATCTGGATAGTCATCCTGCCATTGAAACAAGAGCATAGATTTCATCGACCGCCCTGGAATTTTCTTGAAACTCACTCCAGCGCTCATATTGACGAACTTGGAGAAGCCAACATTTGCACTTAAGGTATCGGCCGCCCAGTTCGACCTTTCGACCCCGAGTAAGGTTAATTCACTAGTATCCCGCAGTTTCGGCCCCAGTCCAACGTATATTTGACTGAAATTACACTGCGCCGTCTCCATATTTTGTGTAGATGTGACGGATGATGACCCGATGGCGAGCAGAGTTGTCTTTTCGAAGGCAAAAGGTGACTCGGGCAACTTCTCGCCCCATTGAAACCAATGACAACTGACGGTGTCTTCTCTGTCAGCCTGAGGTCTCATACCGACGATAGTCCCCCGTTCAACTGCAATAGCCAGAATCAAGCCTTCGCTGGTATATGATATTCTCAATGGACCCCAGAGGTCTGCCAATAATTCGAGTGAAATAACCAATGTTCTTTTGTCAGTCGTTTCTGTGTCTCCAAGGCAGAACGCCCAGACTGGCCCGCCAATATATGCATGAAGACAGCTCAAATTGACTTGACGGAGGAAAATAGACAAATTACCGTCACCACCCTCCGACAAAGGAAATTTGAATTCCGTGTCTGAGTCCAAATACTTCTCATGAAAAGCGGACGCGTGTGATCCTGAGTATGACACCAAACCTAAACCAAGCATACAGACCAAGGCAGTGAATTGAAGCATAATCTCACTCGGTGTTTTGGCAGGCCGTATTTTGAGCCCCAAATGGGCGAAAGTAGCGCTCGCTGCTTTGTTCATATTGGCTAGGCACTCCGAATCCGGGTTTCGTAAGCCAGTGCTTGGGTCGAGAATTGAGATGAGATTGTCCAAAACCTCGTTACCACATGATACGGCCTTGACAATTCCTCTATCATCTGGCTGTTCAATGAGAACACTGAACCCGTTCTCTGCGAAGCGCTCAAGCTTCATGAGCTCTAGCCCCTTCCTGGCATGGTTCAGTATCTGCACGAGGATGGCGATCGTCTCGGGCCAAGTCGCTAAGGACATTGCATGCAAGATGAGAGGGCAGTTTTGTGCAACTTTCCACTCAATATCCCCCAATCTTCCAAAATACAGATCAGGGTCGAGCACTGGGTTCTCGTCTCCAAGGTTGGCGCCTGATTTATTAGTTCTCTCTTCAGCGTTGGGTCCTACTTTCTGTATGTCACTCACCGAATGAGGAAATCATAGGTAATGCCGTGAGATTATCTAGGCCCATGTCATCGCCACCATGACGAATGGAATCATGATTATCTCTCCTTCCATCCTTATAATGACCTGGCGATCGGCCACGTACGATGATTGGCTCTGAGGTTATTCGGGCGATCCTCAGCCAGTGCAAGCCTTGACTATTCTCCCCTCCCGAGGTCTGCGCATTAAGCTCAATCACGATATTGAAGTATTGCTGCCGTGACTCTTTTTTGCCATTGTTTAACGTAGCCCTTTCAAACTGTATCCTCTCGAAAGTATGAGAAAAAAGCCTGCTATCTCCTGCATTGTTCTCGGGTAACTCGACATTGCGGGGGATATTGGATTCTTCGGATCGGCTCGCTGCCTCTTCACCGGTTGTACTAATGGTGTGTGGAAACCAGAAGATCTCTTCTGGTGCTTCGGCACTGTTCCGAACTCTTTTAGGTCCGTGTTGTATCAATCTACGGCTTTCACCATCCTTGCCGTGGACACTCGCCGAAACCTTCACGGAAAAGCCGTGTATTCGCTGGAGTTCTTCTCCTCCGTGTTGTACATACAGACCCTTTTGGATGTCCTGGGGAAAGGAAACAGTAAACCCAACTGCGAAGTAGTCGTGGCGGTACGCAGTCCATTTGTCGTTGACTTTGAAGAAGCGACCATGAAGCTTTGCATCGAGTCTGGGCTGAGCGATATGGCGGTCTTCCCCTGTCACTTCATAGAAGACTTCTGATTTATCAAAGAGCGGGCGATCTGTATGTAATTTATCCGATGCAAGAAGGGTACTTTGTGTGGAGAGTTCTTCGATTGATGCCAGATGGAAAGGGGTTCCCGTCAAGGCGCTGCTAGTGAAGATGCGATCGTCGTTGTCGCGGACGGCATTCTCGTTGGCCCTCTTCCCATGGATGGGATGGTCTTGGCTGCCTTTATCCTGAGTATTGCTAATGGGCTCATTCTTGAACTGAATGCTGGGGCTGGAATCCATCGAGCGATGAAACTTGCACGGAGAACTGGAAGGGCATGAAAGGGTGATGGGTCTAATGTAGTTCCTAGGCGGGGGGGTTATCTAGTTAACTACTTAGACACAGTCAGGCTGACTGACTAGCAAGGTCGGTTTACTCAGGCTAGGCGCTGCTCGACGTATGGTTATGGGATCAGCACGCGTTCTAGTTGGTTCATTTAGTTACCACCTTATCCCCGGCGCGTAGATAAGTACTAGTAGTAGTTGGGCAGCTAGCACCCCGATCCACACCAGAGCCTCGTTCTTGTCACTTGTGCCTAAACTTAAGCGTCATCGGCCAACCATTCACCCGGTGCGGATGTGCTCCTGTTTCACTGGGATTGGACTAAGTAAACAAGGCTGTATGCAATGCTCCAAAATAGTCATAGTGCAAGCTGAAACTGCCCATGGATTTTTGTTGCTATGTTTATGGAAAATGACTCTTGACTTTGCGAATGGAAGACCTGGACGATGGGCTGACGGGCTGGAAGGATTCATATGTACTTGCTAGTACAACTTGTGATGGTAATTCATCAATTGAATGTTAATCTCAAATGCAGAGCTTATGTTGCCACCGTACAATATGATATGAAATAAATCTTTCAAAGTATCCCTTCCTGTAAAATCATTGGCCGAGGAATTTGTACTTCAATGTCTCATCTGCCCGCAACCCCGTGACCGTGACTGTCTGAACATCACCAGGAACAATATCAATCGCGCTATCGCTAAATTTGACGCCGTTACGCTCCTCAAAGACCAAGCATTTGACCGGCCTCTCCGTGCTGATCTGGAACACCTGCTGATCAGAGGCTCCAGAAACACTCCTTACCTCAAGTCCACGATCCGCAAAATCAAGATACTTGAAAGGCTGAGGCCAATCCACGTCTCGCGCAACAATTTCATCATCCACCCACAGTCGGGCGGCAAGGACGTGTGGTTCTGCATCAACGGTGTGGTCGATGACCCCATCGGTGATAAGGTTTGTAGTGCCATTGGGCACTATGTCGACATTTTCTCGCACAATCCGCTCCCGTATCTCTCGTCCAGTGTCCACGGAGAGGAATCTGAGCTCGACCTTTCCCGATGTAGTCTTCTGTAAGGAGCTGACCACCCAGAGCTCATACTTGCTTGTCTTTGGGGGTTGCGCGTGTGTGATGCTCCAATCGTGGTGTTCTCTGCGTACACCTACGGCGACTGGGTTCAATACACGGGCTACAGCGTAGTAGGCGGGCTTGGGCCGCAGGAAGTAGTCTACAATGGCCCAAGAGATTGTTGGCCAGCAATCATTCAGCTGCCAGAGTAGTGCGCCGCCACAGTGTCTTTCGTCTCCCCATTGGCGACGCCACCCGCGGTATCCGAACATCATTGTTTCGGCTTGGACAACCTGGGTGAGGTAGATGTAGGTCTATGTTGGACAGGTTAGCAGGGCTGGTCAATTTGAGTAGGTAGGCACATACTTCGAGGTCAGTAGCAGTTCGCAGATTCTCGACAAGGTAAGTAGCGATGCGACGTTCGTGTCCGTCGGCCTTGTTATGGAAATCGAGAACATGCGATTGCGGGTATTTGTCTTTTTCGTTTTCGACGAAGTATTCAATCGTTGACATGTGGGGGAAAGCCTCCATGCCGAATTCGCTATTGAATCTGCCACCTAGAGTATCGAATATCTGATATTTCTCCTGCGTGCCATGCCAAACTACAATCGTCAGTTTTCTGGGCAGAATAAAGTATGAGAGGAGGCAGTATTACCATTCCACTGGTGCATATCGCCGACTGTAGGATCGGAGGTTATTTTGCCGTCACCCCAAGGGCTACCTGGGTGGTAGAACGTGTTCGGCGAAAAGCGCTCAACCACTGACGGTAACAGCTTTTCGTAGATGTATCGGGCGGGAAAGTCTGTCTTTAGCCAGTTTTCGGGATTTTTATCTTCGTAGTTGTATTCGAGGCCGGCTTGTTCCTGGACTTGGTAGTCTTCGTTGTTACCGACATAGACCACAATGGATGGATGATGGCGCAGGCGGCGGACGTTGTAAGTCGTCTCTTGTTCGATGGAATTCAATAGTTCGGGCCAGGTTGGATAGTTTCCACATCCGAACATAAAGTCCTGCCACACTAAAACACCAAGCTCATCACAAGCTTCGTAGAAACTGTCATCTTCGTAGCAACCACCGCCCCAGACCCTGGGAATTGTTAGTCCTAAGTCTACATTTGAGCAAGAGAACAGACCTAATCATGGCTTGGCGGCCGGCAACCATCAGCTCGATCCATTTTCGATATCGCTCCGGAGTAATGTTGGGAAGTAGGTTGTCTGCAGGAATCCAGCACGACCCGCCGCAGAATATATCCACACCGTTAATTCGAAAGAAGAATGATTTTCCGTGCTTGTCCGGCCGCTGCACGACTTCTGCAGTTCTGATTCCAATCTTCTTGGTAACTCTATGAAGTTCAAGTTGATCGGTCTTCAATGAAGCTGAAATTTCGTAAAGAGTGGAATCACCATATCCGTGTGGCCACCAAAGGTGAGGCTGATCTATGTTGAACTCTACCTTTGCCCTACCGTCTTGGGGTGTGGCTTCTGCTCGAGCAATTTGTTTTCCATGTAGTGCGATGGTGAAGTTGACCTTGTATGGGGGTTCAAGGTCAACAGAGTCAAGCTCTGCAAATGCTGAAATAGAAGCACTCTTATGAGTGGGGTCTAAGTTGATCTCCGTCCAGAGATCTGCCAACCTTGTGGAATAAACCTCCAACCTCACTGCTCTCCAGATACCTGCCGTCATAAGGACCGGGCCCCAATCCCAGCCCCAATGATATTGAGCTTTTCTGACGCTCATTCTCGCGGGATCCCCGTTGAAAGAGGCCCAGTTGTGTTTTGGGTCCTGTCTCCGAAGTTCCTGGGCACGCAGCATCGCACAATCGAATTCAATCTCCAGAACGTGCTCATCTCCGCAATCCAGAGCTTTGGTGACATCTACTCGATACGCTTGAAACATGTTATTGCTTTCTAGAATAACATTGTTGTCAAGTTTGACTTTGGCGAATGTATCAAGGCCATCGAATGCCAAAACAATCCTCGATCCTGCGAGGACAGTTGGCTTTTGCAGTATCTTCCGGTATGTCCAAGACTTTTCGTTGACCCATCGTGCATCTAGTTCATTGAATCCCACGTATGGGTTCTTCAGCCTGAACAATATCCAGTCTGTACGTTAGCGACGTATGCCGCGAAAGATTCCGTAAGTGTACGCACTTTCCATTGGCCTGTAGGTCCTGGTGCACGACAGACGGAACGACAGGAACTGGCATCCATGCGTCTGAAGCAGTATCATCCCTTTCCTTGAAGTGCCACCCTTTTGACAGAGTGTATTGCGCGAATGCTGCCATGGTGGGGTCTTGGAGGGGTGATTGATACAGGAACCGGCAATTGATTGCTGTTTCAACCCAACTTTAAGCCGGACAGTCAGAGCTCAATAAATAAGAATTCCCATAACCTCTGAAACATACTACACAGCAATAGGTATGGATATAGATGCATCCAGGGTCCAGGGTGAGGCTTTACAGAGTGGGTGCCTGGGGAAGCTATGCGGAGAAGTCCCCGCCTCCACGTGCTGCCATTTCCTTTTTGGGCGATCCCCTGACGGAGCACGGGGCCTTTCCCAATCGGGCATCGCTTCCTCTCCATCAACTCCGACACTCTATATTCTCTCGTTCTCTCATTGTCATGTATAGGCCACACAATGAAGCTTGCTAACATCGCCTGCTATCATTAGCCTCAGTACACAGAACATTTGCACTAGGAATCCCTCTGTGACTAAAACAAAACACACTCTCGAAACCACTGTCTATCCGAAACCGCGCTGTGTTTACTGTGAGACATCTCTCTCCGACCTTACCCATTATGGCACGGCGGGTGCTCCGCACACTATCCTGGGAATCGTCCTCCGGTGAGAGTCGTTCTTTATCATCCGAGATAGTACCTGACAGCTCTCAAGATCTCCAGATAAAACGATCGCCCGTCACCAACTCCCCAATGACCACTTCATCTTTCCTTGCCGGCTTGGTTGCGGCCTTCAAGACGGTCCGGGCGCCCACCTTCCTAAGCGACCCCATAATACGGCAAGGCCGTCGCGAGGCCATCCTCCGGCCCTTCGCCACTAGCCTACCCCTCGTCGCTTGAGATTACGACTCCTCACCCCTCCTCTCTTTGCACAAGAGCAGGAGTGAGTCGACTGCCTGAATCCTGAGCGCTAGTAACCGACGCACCCCTCCTTCTCGGCATTTTCGTGCCTGCTATCCATGATATAGGGCCTCTGGGTAAAACGGCCCTGGCTATCCGATCAGGTGCCGCGCTGGCTTGGCGTGCATGTGAAAGGATAAAATGTCTCACTCTTGGCGTCTAGTGAAATTAGCCTGTATACCACCGCTGCTATTGGAGAGTATCTCGGCGATTGGTTGTCATCTTCCCGACAAGCCGAGATGATTGTCGTGCACCGGATCCTCTGTCCCCTGAGACGGCTCGGTTCAGCCCGAGTCCCAGTTGTTGAAAGCCTGACAAGACTGCCTCACAGACCTGATGTGCACTGTCACTCACCCCAGATCTACAATAAGCGATTCTGGAAGACTACTGCGTCTGGTTGTATGGCAGAATTGCAAGTGTGCGTGAGCTTCAGCACGTCTTTCACAAGTTAGACATAGCCAGTCCCCCGACAAAATTGCTCCGGCATCTGACACCTGCACGGGATTTAATTAATTTTGGAAATGAGGAACCGGTCATCTCATGCGGGGTAGTGCATTTAATTGGCGGAGGCAAATTTCACCCAGCAACCAAACTGGATGAAGACCCTGGAAATGGGCATAATCTTGTACAAACCCTGATACTTTCTTGCCCCTCGGACGACATGGTGTAGGGCGACCCAGGAACAGTAAGCTTCCAGGTCGCGGATGAAAGGATAGTTCACCAAGCACGCCGATTACATCCGGCGAACCTTGTCAGACACGCAGATGTTCTTACTTCTTGCCTGGCCATTAAGCAATCAGGTGGCACCACAATGTCTGAGCGTGGTGGACCGGTGTTGCTATACTCAGTCTCCCGCACCACTAGCTGGAGCTCTTGGGCTCAGGAGTAGCCGGCCCTAGCAGAATCCCACACCACCACTAATTTCTCTGGACCCCTGAGTTACACCTCCATCTCCTGAGCTTGATGTCCCATAGCTCGGTGTGGTATTTTGTGAATTTGTATCATTAGGACGGTGCTGGGTGCAAGAGCAATGGTTTCGATGTGGACTAGCGTACCAGATTTGCTTGGATCGGTCAGCTATTGGATAGTCTCAACCTGGGGCAAGGCCCAACGTTTACAAGAAACAGAAGGCACTCGGAGACCCGGGGCTCACCGAGGGCCAGTGATAGGTGGAAGGGCGCATCGTCATCACACTCAGGCGTGTATAATTCCACGCCTGAGAGGGTTACTGGACCGATGAATTCAGGCGCCAGGAGAACAGACCACCATATGCTGTTTGCCGAGTCTGTGAGCGCATCACACAACCCTTCTCGTACCCTGCGTATAATTAGGCGCAGGGTTGAATATAGTAGGCAGCCAACAGGGTCTGCAGGTCGGTTCGTCTGTCAGCATGCAGAAACCAGACAGAAACGGTCGCATCCTGCATAAAATAAATTAAAAGGACGAAATGCGGGGGTGGAGGCCATGCTGACCACTGGTGACCTGCGAGGGTCCTCGTCCAGGAACTTCCGTTGTTGGGCACCTCCTGCTTTCTCTCGGTGCAAACTGTGATGTTCCCAGCGTCAACGCTGCCGATGATCGTCTAACCCCGAGGCTGGCCTGCTCACTTCCCCAAAACAGGAGTTGATTTCCCGCGTGGATATATTGTGTTTTTCTTCCTCTTCACCGTCTTCGTTTGATGAGCCTTTCTTTGCTTTTCTTCCACTTCTACCCTCATTGTTTCCCCGGACAATGGCCACTGCAGCAACTAACTGATTACCTGCATAACTGACTCGGACTACTTGCCCGGCCTATTTGATCCACTTGCTATTTCCTCCTCTGACAAACAAGGATCCCTGCCCTCCGGTGCATCTAATCTGCTGGTCTCCCTGCGACTCGGTGCCAATGGCCCTTTCGAGTTAATCTCGCCACCCTAAAGTGTCTCAACGGGTACACTTCCCGACTATCCGTCAAGCAAAAGTCACCAGCAAAATATCCCTCGATCGCAAAGCAATGTTTCATACGTTCGAAGGGTTCGAGAACCCAACTCTTCCGACTGCTGTGCGCGGACGCAACCAACGTCAACAATCTGTCGGACGCCGAGTCACTACGCTCCGCGCCTGCACCTCTTGTCGGCACCGAAAAATAAAATGCGATGGAGAAAAGCCATGTGAAGCATGCAGATGGTATAAGAAAGCAGACATGTGTCAGTACTCTGATCCTCGGCCATCTCGCAGGTGTGACTGTCCCCTTCTTCCATTGAAGCCGCGATCGAGGGACGACCCGAATCTAATAAATGTATCAATCAAGCAGGCATGTGGAGAAACTATCGACCACACTCGATGAATTTAGAGGAGTGCTTGACAAGCTCTTCCCTGGAATTCCAGCGGAGACCCTGGTCAACTTGCCTCGGGACAAGCTCTTGGAGCTGACAGGCAAGGGGGCTTCCCAGATGCAGACGCAAGCGCCACACCCGGCGTCCCCAGCAACCTCGGCATCAGTGGAGGCTCACGCATCTCCGGCATCCAGCGAAGACGGCAATCTCGAGTCTTTACAAACCATACCCGATCACACAACTGATGATCGCGAATTGAAGAGCTCGGAGCTTACGAGCACCGTATCCGACGATGTCAACGCTTTATCTCTCTCGGCCAAACAGCCATCCTCCTATTTGGGTGTCTCTTCCATCCATGCTGTGTTAAAGGTGATAGTATGGCTGGAGCCCAACTCCCTCTCTCACCTATCTCGCGCCCCTGCCACAGGAGTTCGTCGGGATTCTGTCATGGAAATAGCTTCTCCAGAGGCCCAGGCCTGGCAGGTTTTTGGGTCTCAGCCGCACCATGGCACTTCAACCGTGCCCGAGACTCAACTGCTCGACGCTTACTTTACCTACTTTCAACCATTTGTTCCAATGCTGGACGAACAATCTTTTCGCCAAACGTATCTATCTTCGCGCAGGAAGGACAAGCAATGGCTCGCGTTGCTCAACATTGTCTTTGCTTTGGGCAGCATAGCAGCCACCCCTGCCGATGACATGTCTCATCAAACATATTATATGCGGTCGAAGAGCCATTTAGATTTGGAAAGCCTTGGTTCACCGCACGTGGAAACCATTCAAGCTCTGGGCCTCATGGGTGGCTATTACCTCCACTATAGCAGCCAGCCCAACCTCGCGTACTCCATGATGGGGGCGGCATTGCGCATGGCCGCAGCTCTGGGCTTGCACAAGGAAGTCTCCGATGGTCAATACGGCAACAGCAGGAATAGGTTATTTTCAGTTGATCACAAACGTCGAGTCTGGTGGTCTCTGTTCTGTCTGGACACGTGGGGCGGCATGACCTTGGGCCGACCAAGCATGGGTCGACTGGGTCCAGCGATCACTGTTAAGTTGCCACATTATAGGGAAACAGTAAGTGTTCCCTTTTTTTGATTCTCTTTTTCCTTTCTCTGCTGACCTATTAGGGAAATGTGCTCGACCTTCTGCCGCTTCTGGAAAATGTTCGATTCTGCAAGATTGCGACACAAATCCAGGAGGTGCTGGCCGTAGCACCGTTGACAAAGCCTCACGAAATGGCAAATCTTGACAGCCAGCTTCTCGAATGGTATGATAACCTTCCGTATATTCTCAAAGACCACGAGCCATGCTCGGAGTCGATCGCAATCACGAGAACTGTCATGAAGTGGCGGTATTACAATCAGCGGATGCTCTTGTACCGTCCCACCCTGCTCAGCTACGCCATGCGGCGCGTACCATACATTGTGCTCAGGTCTGAAGAAAGGACAGCTATTGAAAGATGTAGGGAGATTGCCGAGGCTACCATACAGGATGTAGCTGCCAAGGCACAATTCCATCAAATGTCAGGCTGGAATGCAGTATGGCTTATCTTCCAAGCTGCAATGGTTCCTCTCCTAGGGCTGTTTCTCAACGATGGTACAGTTGATGATCCAAGGGCGACATCTGAAGCGTGTCAGGCTCAAGTGGAAACGACAATGCTTGTCCTGGAGCGCTTGGAACCTTGGAGTCCAGCTGCCAAATCGACGCTGGAGGCGGTTTCCCGGATATTCGAGGCCGGTAAACGGTGCCACAATGTCACTGGAGAAGCCCACAGCATTAACAGCGGTAGCTGTGTGACGGCTACTGAAGATCTTGGCGCAGTGCCTGGGGTATCCCCGTTACAAATCGACTTCGGTCGTGCTATTCCACATGAGAATGGATTTATCGATCCGTTTGAGCCCCAATTTATCAATGATTCTGCAGGGCAGTATCTCTGGGACTTCCTTAGCTGGAGCGACAGCAACTTGTTGCAGGGTTTGGCTGATATTGACACTGTCAACAACGCGCCACTGTTTCCCCAGGAGGAGAGAAATACAAAGTATGGAAGCAGCGAGAATGCTTATTTTGGAGGTCAATTGGGAGATTCAACATTTTTCATCAATTCAGGGCCGTCTTTCTACTAGGTTGGTGCAGCCTCATCGCTGCTGGTGTTCACTTCTGTCACATGGTGTTTTATATTTCGCTCGCTTGATATTTGTTACAGCTCATTCGCTATCTTAGCGGTTTCAGATTACATGGTTATTCATGATTGATGCATTTACGGGCGATTCGGAGGATATGTGTCGAGAACATGGTATGATAGCAGAAGGTACTGCTTCAGCAATATATTTTCAAGCTATAAACATGAAAACTAGCTATGATTCAACATATACTGAATTATGATAGGCGTGGGCACGTCTTCACTACTATAAATTAAGAATAGAAACACGCATTTCGAACAAATCCACGTAGCTTAATTTCCGCGTCAGAAATATCAGGCGTAGTCAAAGAAGAAAGTTGAATGAAATCCCCGTCTTCAAGATACACAGCTTCCTAATCGGGCAAGATCATCTTCCTGCTGACTCAGCACCGAACCGGTCACGTTTCCTCGCGTCGGGATAGCTTCATCTAACCAACCAGAACCCACGATGCCCACCAAATAGACATAGGATGGTGAGATCAGCGAATCTGTACATACTAGCTACTACCATATTGTCCCGGCGACCTACACCATCTTATCAAGCCGAAATCATCACACCAGGCTGCCACAGGAGTAAGATATCACCGATGAAGTAACCAACCACAACACCACCATCAAAATGCCCTCCAAAATGGCATCATCATCATCATCATCATCATCATCCTTCTTCCAATCCCCCACCCTAGTCTACACCTCCGCCATAGCTCTCCGCGCCATCCTCTTCATCTACGGCGCCTGGCAAGACGCCAACTCCGCCGTCAAATACACCGACATCGACTACCTCGTCTTCACCGACGCAGCCCGCTACGTCTCGCACGGCGCCTCGCCTTACGAAAGAGACACTTATCGCTACACGCCACTCCTAGCATGGATGCTCCTCCCGACCTCCTGGTCCGGCCCATCTCTCCTCTTCTCCTTTGGAAAAGCCCTCTTCGCCCTCTCCGACGTTCTCGCCGGATGGCTCATCGCTAGATCCCTCGTCTCCGCGTACGGAATGGACGCTCCTCGCGCCTTGAAGTACGCTAGTTTCTGGCTTCTGAACCCCATGGTCGCCAACATTAGCACCAGGGGTTCCTCTGAGGGTCTGCTCGGTGTGCTGGTCATTGCTCTGCTGTGGGCGGTTCTCCGCAGGAGGGTCGTGCTGGCGGGTGTGTTGCTGGGACTGAGTGTGCATTTTAAGATCTACCCGTTCATTTACGGAGTGTCAATTATTTGGTGGTTGGATCGGGAACAAGACGGCAGCAGCAGCAGCACGTCTAAAACCACCGCTGGAAGCAAAGATACCAGCATCCTCACCAAGTTGATCAACTTCATCACTCCCCCCCGCATCATCCTCACCCTGACCTCCCTCATCACCTTCACTGCCCTCAATCTCCTCATGTACTCACTTTACGACACCCCCTTCCTGCAACATACCTTCCTCCACCATCTCACGCGCATCGACCACCGCCATAACTTCTCCCCCTACAGTACCCTCCTCTACCTCTCTGCTGCAGGCGAGGTACAGGGGAACTTTGAGTCGTTGGCGTTTATCCCGCAGTTACTTCTCTCTGTTGTGGTTATCCCGCTTGTCCTGGCGAAGAAGAGTCTCCCCGGGGCAATGCTCGCGCAGACGTTTGCGTTTGTTACTTTCAATAAGGTTTGTACGAGTCAGGTATGCACCCCCTCCTTCCCTAGTTTAGTACGACGAAAGCAGAGCTGATAAGAATTGTTGTAGTATTTCCTCTGGTACCTCATCTTCCTCCCCTTCTATCTACCGGGGTCTTCGTTGCTGAAGGCTCCGCGGTTTGGGGGGGTTGTGGCGGTTGCGTGGGTTGTTGGGCAGGTATGGTTATCCCTATTCCTTCACTTTCATTTTCACCTTCTCCGTCTCCTTCATTTTGATATCAAATATTTTATGGATGGTACTGATTATGTGGGTGGCAGGCACTATGGCTACAACAAGGATATAATCTTGAGTTTCTGGGGTTGAGTAGTTTCATGCCCGGGTTGTTTTTGGCTTCATTGGGGTTCTTTGCGGTTAATGTTTGGATTCTGGGGGTTATTGTTGAGGATGTGGGGGCTTCTTCTTCTTCTTAGTTTCGTGGTTTTTGTTTCTTTCTTTCTTTGAGGTATGGATTATGTAGGTTTAGGGGCTGTAGTGTGGTGTGGTTATGGGAGACGGGGGGTATGATGTAATTACTTATGGGAGATAGATGGGAGAGGTATGTGTATGCTGAGTGTAGTGGATTTGGGTATGGACTACATAATAAGTATGATGTTGGTTAGAAGAACATTGATATTACAAACTCATTTTAATTTATTGAAGGAAAGATCATGTTTGAAAATCAAGGTTATATTCAACTCATATTTACTACATGATTACGTATGTTCCAGGTCCTCAATGGATGTATGCCACCTCAACACTTAAGTTGGAAGACACAAATCTAGTACGTCGCTGGTCAGAATAATCCGCTCAATATCAGCACTTCTTCGGCACAACCACAGTCATGGAAAGACTGGATCGCAATTTGACATCCGTGCTAGTTCGACTGCAGAAAACCAAAACGAGACCTATGAAGGGAAGAAGAAGGTAATGTATTAGTAAATAAGCGGTAGGCAGAAGGTATAAGACATAAGCCCCGCAGCTAGTAGATCAATCAGTCATAACTCCGTAGAATGCATTACAGCTCTTTCTTTGCGCGGATTTCCCTGGGTGGCCGGAAGTTGCCGGACCGCAGCTCCTGCCACGCCAGGTCGAATCGTGCACCGAGCAGCCAGGCAGTGAAGATCTAGTCTGGTTAGCTGGGTCGGTGAGAGGTAAAGTGAGGCACATACCATAACAATCGAGGTGATGAACACAATCACCACCATCAGACCCATCATAAAGTACATATCCTTACGGGTCTCGGCGTGCTCCTCGGCCTGCTTCCTCTCCGCCTCCGTCAGCTCGCCAGTGATACGACGCTTGGCGGCCTCGGCATTCTGGCTGGGGAAGATGGTTTCGATCCATTTTTCAATCTAAATCATTAGAGTTAGCTTAGCCCAACATAGGCCAAAGAGGGAAGACGTACCCGTCCACAAACAAGGCTGATCTTGAGGAAGTTGGGGTCCTTGGGTGTGTTCTTCTTGTGAATCTTGCGCGCATACTTGCGGAAGGCAGCACAGAGGATACGCAGGTTCTGCGTCGACTCGAACATCAGCTGGCAAGCCTCGCCCTTGGTGATCTTGATGTTACGCTCGAAGATCGCAGGGTTGCGGAAGCAGAGTTCCAGCGTGGCAATGGCCATGGATTGCGGAATAGCGCAGAAGTTGAACACACTCTGCTCACGCAGACCAGCCAGGTAGAACAGGCAGTCTTCGACGTGTTCCAAAGCATTCAACACCATCTCGGAGCTGCAGTTTAGTGCAGCTTCGCGGTGCTCAGGCTTGAACAGGTCTTCAAACTTGGTGACGTGCTTGGACCAAATCTCTTTGGGCCAGAAGCGACGTCCATCATCGTCGTCCTCTCGGATGTCTCGGATGATGTTGGTCTTTTGGAGGAAGAGTCCCATGGACTTGTGCAGACGTGCGCGTTCCAGCAGGGCAGGGTTACCAAACTCGGCCTCGACGAAGAGGCGCGTGAGTCCTTCACCGACCAAGCCAGCGACGTAGTAGCAGTACAGGTCGTATTCCTCGACGGTGATCACGCTGGCGTCATCAAAGGCCGCCTTGCGACAGTAATCGGCCATACCGTTGCCCATCTTGTCAGTGATGTCCTTGATGATGGCCTGGTAGGCGGGTTTCATCTTCTTGAACTCGGTGATGACATTGTGAAACTGAACCAGCAGCTCACGGTCCTTCTCCTCGGGGCGGTTGCCATTGAAGGTCCAGCCATCCTGTTCCAGGAAGTCCTTGAAGCCACGCAGCAGAGGTTCCTTTGTTTCCAAAGGAATCGACGTGTCGTCTTCGATTGTGTCCAGCCCGCGAAGTGTGAGGTAGAAGACGCAGACGGGCATCAACAGCTCCGGGTGGAGCTCCTTGATGACGGCGCTGAAGCTCCGACTGGTCAAGTCGAGGAATTTGAAGCAGGCCTTCTCAGTCTCGGTCTCGTTCTTCTCATTGCGCTCATGAACCGGGGAGTGCCAGATCTTCCTATGACCACGGGCAAAGCCTTCGTAAGCGTTGGCACAACACACTAAACCCCATCATAGCCGGTCGAGGACAAGGGCCGGAACCAACCATTGCATAATCGACCTCAGTTCCGAGGGATGAAAGGTGTAGTAGATGGCATTCGATGCGAGACCCATGGTGAAGGGTAGATTACGATCGAACGGTCAAAAATGACGGGATGGAAAACGAATTAGGGTAAAATGGGAATTATTACACGTAAGAAGAAAGGGAATGGAAGCAATGCGGAGAATGACCGAATCAACGGAATTCGCGAGGAAAGAAAGGGATGGGATGGTACAATAATGTACAAGCACAGCGAGCGAATGCCTCACTGGCTGAGGAGGATGAGGTGGAGAGGAGACGGGGAATCCAGTCAAGCAGACGGAGGAATGTAGGAGTAGGAGGGAAGGAGGAGGGAGGAGAGGGAGAGGGAGAGGTAGAAGTGTAGAGGAAGAGGAAATAAGTAAACAATTGGGAGGAGAGGGTAAATCAGGGGGGGAGAGGAAGAGGAGGGAGAAGGAGGAATAAACAGAAGACGAGGAGGAAAAGAAAGAAGAAGAAGAAAAGAAAGCGAAAGAAGGAAAATTTTAAAGGCCCGCTTGAAAGGCGGCGCGGCTAGCGGCTCTGGCTGGCGGCTGAGCGCGTGCAGGCGCAGTACCCGGTATTACAGCTTTGTAATAAAGCTACATGACATATTTGTAGTATACAGTTGAGAATGCCACTATTGTATTACCATACGTGACCATCAGCCCGCCTCAGGCCATCTGCATTGGCAAGTGACTGTTTGTCTCCCCGCCATGACGGAAGAAATCCAGCGGAAAACTAAAAGCCAAAATAACATCATTTAGGCAGAAAAAATTACAGGAGACGCATCGAAACTGCCGTCTCTACCAGCCCGTCCTATTTCTGGTCCACATCTATTTCTGCAACTCGCCTGCCGGCTGGCCTTGATTTTCTGCATCGGTGACCGCTAGATTGATTGCGTGGTTGGGTCCTGCTCACATTGCCCGCCATGGTTGCCGACACTTCCTACTACGACGCCCTCGGGGTGCCGCCCACTGCCACCGAACTCGAGATTAAGAAGGCCTATCGCAAACTGGCCATCATTCACCATCCTGGTACGTTTGCAGCTGCCATCTGGCTGTCCAACGCTAACCGTCGTAGATAAGAACCCCGGCGATGAGACTGCGCATGCGCGATTCCAGGAGGTCGGTAGATCCCTTTGTTTGTTGTCAAGACATGCGCTGACTCCATCTCTACATGACAGATCGGTGAAGCCTACCAAGTTCTCAGCGATGAAGAACTCCGCAAGCGCTACGATAAGTTTGGAAAGGAGGATGCTGTCCCCGGTGGTGGTTTCGGTAAGACACATCTTTGCGCAGGAGGCAGTCGGATACTAATGCCATGCAGAGGACCCCTCGGAATTCTTTGGCATGATCTTCGGTGGCAACGCCTTTGTCGACCTTATCGGTGAAATTTCGCTCATGAAGGACCTCACCACTACTATGGACATCACCATGCAGCAGATGGAGGAGGAAGAACTGGCCGCATCCGCCGAGGAGAAACTGAACATCCACGATGAGCAGGAGCACGCTGAAGGCACTGCCGAAGGTGCTGCTCAAGCTGCCACCCCCGCCGAGTCGACGACTGCCGCTTCCGAGAAGCCCGCCGCATCCCCGAGCTCCGGCACGAGCACCCCCCGCCGCTACATGGGCCAGCAGGCCATCATGGACAAGTCGGAGGAAGAGGCACGCATGGAGGCAGCTGGTCTGTCCCAGGAGGAGAAGGAGCTGCGCAAGAAGGAGAAGAAGAAGGGTGGTTTGTCCCGGGAGCAACAGGAGCGTCTGGCGGCGTACGAGCTGGAGCGCAAGAAGGCGCGCGAGGAGCGCGTCAATACTCTGGCCACGAAGTTGGTGGACAAGATCAGCGTGTGGACGGAAACCGACAAGAGCCCTGACATGACCCGAGCGTTCGAGGAGAAGATCCGTCTGGAGGTGGAGAACCTGAAGATGGAGTCGTTTGGTCTGGAGATCCTGCACGCCATCGGCGCCACCTATGTGCAGAAGGCTACCTCCTTCCTTAAGTCGCAGAAGTTCCTCGGTATCTCTGGGTTCTTCTCGCGCTTGAAGGACAAGGGTACCCTGGCCAAGGAGACCTGGACCACCATCTCCACCGCCATCGATGCGCAGATGACCATGGAGGAGATGGCAAAGCTGGAAGAGCGCGGTGGAGAGGACTGGACGGATGAGAAGAAGGCCGAGTACGAGAAGAAGGTGACGGGCAAGATTCTGGCTGCAGCGTGGCGGGGCAGCAAGTTCGAGATTCAGAGCGTGCTGCGTGATGTGTGTGACCAGGTGCTCGGAGACAAGCGCATCAAGCTGGACAAGCGCGTTGAGCGTGCTCATGCTCTGGTGATTGCGGGTAACATTTACTCCAAGGTATGCCACTACATTTATCTACTGCACGACCTTTGGGGTATGCTAACTGGTACAGGCTGAGCGCGATCCCGACGAGGAGGGCGACTTCATGGCGTTTGAGCAGCTGATGGCGGAGTCGATGACGAAGAAGGGCAAGGAGGACAAGAAGAAGAAGAAGAAGCACGAGCACCATCACGAAGAGCCTACTGCCACTGCCTAGATACCTTGCATAGTCTATTTTTGTTTTCAGACTGGACAGTTGGATATGTGTGTAGCGAGTATATCAGATCGTAATAGAGTAGCAGATACCAAGTTCTGTTGTAGGAGCCATTACTGTCGCAGTAGACTATACTTACACTAGTAGTATTAGTGGTGGTGCCTGTAGGGCTGAAACAGCACTCAGTTCTCCTCCGACGGAAATATATCTCGGCCGTAAGTGTCCCGGTTAATCAGGAAACTGCTACTACTACTACTTCTACTACTACGACTGAGTGACTCACCCGTTACTGACCGGAGATGTCCGACTTCCAAGGAACACTAACCACTAGTAAATGCGGAGTAAGTGACGTCGTACGATCGAAGGTACACCGCGGGTTAATCCTGCAGGTGTAGCGGGATGCTGTAGACGGCTGCAGGAGGAATAGGTTACCCATTCTTGTGTAAGTAATATCTCCGACAAT